TATGTTTGTAAAGGGGTGCCCTGGGAGATCTGTACACATTTTCTCAGCAGGCTGGGGTCGGTGGTAGCCTTTCTTGGATTGGTTTTGATATAATTTCCCAGCTAAATGGCACGTGTCCTTTGGAGGGACAGAATGCTGGAGGGAAGGCCACCAGGCTAAGGGCCAGAGGTGACTTTGTGATGCAGAAAAGTTCTGGCCTTTTGTATCCAGAGGTCACGTATCCAGAGGTCATCTTCTTACTCCTTGAGAGGGAGACAAGCTGGGCTTTCCAGTCCCACGGAGAGGCCAAGGTCTGCCTTGGCTGTCTGCAGATCATCGGAGCCCACGTTCCCATCATCATGGCAGGCCCCAAATTCCCTGCTTTTGCTGAGTTCTTGTTCTCTTGCTCTTACAACTGTTCCTTTATCTCGGTCCTGCTATTGATCCCAGCCCTGGTTCCCTGCCTCCCCTGCGACTTTCCATCAAAGTACCCACAAATACAAGCTGGGAAGTTGTAAGGGTCACTGGAAAAGCATGGCATTGCCATACAGAACTTCAAATGGCACAGAAGACGGAAACACAGATTTCCTGTTCCGGAATGTTTTCCAGACCACCCCACCCCCAGGCTTGACGGCCACTGCATGCAGTGCCTAGCCTCGGCCCATCTTGTTGCCCTCTCTCTTACTCCCTCTTTCAAGTTCCTCTGTAAATCCCCTTTCTGAGGCAAAGGGAGTGAGCGCTCTCCATTCCTATGCCTAGAGTTCCCAGACTCACCTTTGCACAGCCCAAGCACATCAGGGCTCTTGGCTGTAGGAGAGGCCTTCCAGGCCATAAGCAGCACCAAGGACCAGTGGGGACCTGGCAGTTAGCACTCCTCCTTTCATAGGAGGCATCCCTTGAGTGGCACTTGTGGTTTTAAGTAGCAATTTTCCCCCCTCCCTTTAGGTTATTTTCCAATAGAAGGTTGAGAGAATCTACAATCTTTACGTCATTCATTCATTTACTCACTTACCCATCCGACACATGTATTGAGCAAAGTCAGTGTGCTGAGTGCAGATGCTGGGGGAACAAATACAGACAGCCTTGTTTCCAGAAGCAAACTAATGGGTTGCTCACCTCACCTGCAGGCTACGGTGACAGTGGGAATGATTAATGCCCTGAGTATTGCCCTATGCACTGAAACCTAAACTCGTAAGATGTGATGGAGGGAGGTGAGTATTCTCTACCTTGCAAAATGATTCACTGCAGGATTAAAGCTGGAGACTTTTAGAATTTGAAAAGACCTCAGGGGACCCACTCCTTCAATCCTTTTGTTAGTTATTGGTGAAAAGTGAGATTTAAAAAGCTTAAGAGACTGGCTTAGAGTTATTCAGCAATGCCAGAGCCAGCGGGTCAGAGCCAGCGCTGTTTTGTTCATTCTCAGTGCTGGTCTCTCTTTCCATCAGGCCCTGCATGATGTGGAGATGCTCCAATGATGCTGCGGCTGCTGCTAACCCGGTCAATATTTATTGAGTGCTTTCTGTGTGCCAGACACAGTTCTAAGTGCTTTTTACCTGTTACAGCATTGCTGTCACAGCAATCTGAGACACAGCTGAGACACAGAGAGAGCAGACAACTTGTCTAAGGTCACACAGCTCAGGAGGACTGGTCTTGGGCTTCTTATCCAGGCCATTTGACTTCTGAGTCCATGCTCTGAACCACAACACTGTGACTCTCCGACCAGCAGCACCCATAGAGAAATTGTTTCCACTCACATATTGAAAGGAAAGTACTTCAGTATTGAACATCATTTCAGTGCTAATCGGGGATAGTTTAATAAAACCAAAGGCTGGTGTCATACCTTTTGGCAGATCTTTTTAAAGTTGCCATATATAGAGCTGCCATTAAAGTTTGTAAAGCTTTGTGGATAAAAGTAGCATGAAAAGCAGTTTGTATGATGTGTGTGACAATAAACAGAATTGTGATCCAAATTACAGGTGAAATGGGACAGTGGCCCCTCGGAGGCTAGAAATACCTGCAGAGGCTTACAGAGTGAGGTGCTTGTAAATAACACCATTCAAACCTCAATTGTGTGTGGGTTTCTTGAGAAGCAACTCTATTTAAGGGACTGCTTATACAAAATCAAGTTCTTCTTAGCAAGGATTGCTTTAAATATTTTGACTTGAATGAAGGCCAGTCATGTTCTGCCATTTTCAAAAATCTTCTAACTGGAGCCTTAGAGTTGATTTTCTTTTCATCCGTGATTAATTTTCCAGCTCCCACCCCACCCAGATTTTATAATCCAGAGATTCTGAGAGTAGGAAGTCCTAGTAAAGCCCAGAATCTAAAACAAATCAGACCAGTCAGTTCTAGTTAGCTTTTTTCCTTTCAGTTGTTAGTAAAATAAACTCTGAAAAGCCTAAACTTTAACGCACCCATCTCAGTAACATCTCCTCTAACAATGGGAAGGCGTAGAAAAGAAGAAAAGGAAACATTATGAATCTTGTGGGAACGCTGGAGTTTTGTCTATTATCACAAGCAGCGTGAGCCCGAAGTCATTTAAATCCTCTGGGGGTGGGAAACATAATTATTTGCAAGGGAGCATTATTAACTAAGTACAAATGGTTTGCTATTTGTTTTCTCTGTTCTTTGTAATGATTACAGGCTGGGGATGGTGTTTAGTAACAGGATCCAGCAGGTCAGTGATGACAACTTCATCACTGTCATTAACACCTTTTGTTTGCAGTGAACACAAAAAGCTATGCAGTATTAAGAGAGTCAAGAAAAAGAGAAATAAGAGGGGGTGGAGAAAGTGAGACAACCAAAGAGACAGCCAGGGAACAGAAATTGATACATTATGTATACCAGAAAAAAATACCCCTGGGTAATTGAGTCAGCTGACTCAAATGGTGTAGGGGCCTCAGTTAGAGGAACAAATTTTGGACTCCTTGTTCTTTCTGCCAAAAGAGTAATTGCTCATGTTTATAAATGCAAATGTTTTTGCCATTTTGCTTCCTAGAAATGCCCTAGGGAGACGTTATTTTTGGTAAGGGGTCTTCCTGCTTCAAGTGTAATGACTGTGAACAACTAGTTTCAGTATCTTCTATAGCATGCCAGGGTAAAATGAAGCAAAATAAATACAGGAAGTGCTATGACCTTTATAGAGGATCTACTGGGTGCCAGGCAAGATACTTTTTTTTTTTTTAAGACAGGGTCCTGCTCTGTTGCCCAGGCTGGAGTGCAGTGGCGCGATCTCGGCTCACTGCAAGCTCCACCTCCCGGGTTCACACCATTCTCCTGCCTCAGTCTCCCAAGAAACTGGCACTACAGGCGCCCGCCACCATGCCCAGTTTATTTTGTTCTTGTATTTTTAGTGCAGACGGGGTTTCACCGTGTTAGCCAGGATAGTCTCGATCTCCTGACCTCGTGATCCACCCTCCTCGGCCTCCCAAAGTACTGGGATTACAGGCATGAGCCACCACCCCGGCCAATGCTGCAATCTTGACTCACTGCAGCTTTTGCTTCCTGGGTTCAAGCGATTCTTCTGCCTCAGTCTCCCGAGTAGCTGGGATTACAGGCGTGCACCACCATGCCTGGCTAATTTTTGTATTTTTAATAGAGACATTATTTTTAATGTATTTTTCATGTTGGCCAGGCTGGTCTTGAACTCCTGGCATCAAGCAATCCACCTGCCTCAGCCTCCCAAAGTGCTGGCATTGAGCCACCGCACCCAACAAGGTGCATTTTTATGTGCTTTTTCTCCTCTGTCTTCTCAACAACCCTGGGGTAAAAGGCCTTATTACTACTTTTCCTATGAGAACAATAAAGTAGAAAGAGGTAAAAGACTGCCTCGAAGATCACCCAGCACAGAGCAGGGATTTGATTTCAGGTGTGTCTTGTTCCAAACTTACTACACAGCACTGCTGGGGGAAAAAAAGAGCAAAAAGCAAAACCCAAAAGGTTCTTAACTGAAGTCAAAGACGACCAAGAAAATGCAGGCGGATGTCAGGTCTGATCATGTGGATGCTCAAATGATAAACAGACACATTGAGAGAAACTGTATTAATTAAATCATAAAAATATGTTCTGCTTTTTGGGGAATTTACTCCTCCTCCTGGGGTGACCCTCGACAAGACATTCTGTCTTCCTGTTTTTAAGCAAAAAAAAAAAAAAAAAAAACAGTGGGTAGAAGATTAAAGTTTGATATTTGGCTCATGCATAGCTTTGTCTCATTAATATATTTCATGCTTGCCTGTCATTTCAACTTTCTGCTGCCAGACCAAGCTCCTTCAACAGCCATTCCTACTTCTGACACTCCTCTTGTGCTTTTCAGGACAACTTTATGCCTATTGTGCCTTGGATCTTGAGAAGCATATGGTAAAACTGGTCAATGGTGATGGCAGGCTTAGCAGGGAATTAGATTGTGGGGGGTGGCGGGCTGGGAGAGAAAACAAAAGAGGGTATCAGGCTACTTGATGACGGAATCAGGCTGCTTCTGCAATGACATTACATGAAATACCCGAAATTTGACCTTAACTGTGTCTGGTGGGTCCCGTTAACCCTGTAAGTTATGGACAGAACATTTACTCAAATTCTAGCAACGTCTAGGCTCGTGGAAATACGTGACCAATTCAGGTGAATGAAAGGGATTTTAAAACATTCATTTCCAGGTTAGGTCTTCCTAAGACTGCCTGCGTGTCCCTTAACACCACGCCAGCCTGAGTGTCATATGGATCCTGAGTGTGGACTTGTGTGCACACTGTAGAAAAATAAGAAGCAACTGAAAACCCCAGGCAGGGGGTGGAGTGATGACGAAAGACACCGAGACCGAAGATCGGGAAGCTGGAAATTCCCCCCTAGCTTGGGTGTTTGGGCGCTATCTCGCCTCTCCACTTCCCTAAATCACCCTCGTGGTGCGAGTGTGCTCGCAGTAGATGCTTCCTAATTGTCCCTAGTATTGACCGTAATACCCTAACGACAGGAATAATCTCTCTCATTCTATTTCTCAACACCATTTCAACACCCAAACTCAAACCTCTCACCTGAGTGCAAGGGAGTGGTGACCTTCTTAAGCCAAGAGCTCTTCCATCAGGGGGCTCCCTAACGGCATCTCTGTTCAAGAGGGGGAGCCGTCACCCACTTTGTTCTGCTTAGCCTGAGACACGCAACTTTTTCCAGCTTTTACTCTTCGCTGAATTCTCACGGCGGGGTTGGGGGGATTTTCAGGGTCAGGAGCCAGGTTGGGGGCCCGGCCCGCTGAGCGCTGTTCAGGGGTAGCTCGGACCAGAGCAGGAGTTTCATCACCTGCGGGGACAGGTGGGACACGTGTATTTCCAGGGCCACCCCTGACCTCCCGGAGGATGCTGATTGACACTGTCCAGTTTGAGAACTACTGTGTCCAGGGAGCAGAGGCCTCCCCGGTGCCCCTTGGGTAGTGGGCATCGGGCCCAGGGCTTCTCTGGATGAGCGGGGCTGGCAAGAGAGCGCATGGAGCTGGGGGCGGGAGGTCGGGGCAGCGAACAAGGGGGAGAAGGAGAAGGCGGAGGCCGAGGGGGAGGGAAGGGAGGAGGAAGAGGAGGAGGAGTCCCTCGTGGCCACCCCGAGGGGAGGGCGACCGTAGAGACTTGGTCAGGAGGCGCTGGCAGAGCCGGGCCGCCGGGACTGTGCACCCAGGGGCGCCGACCGTCGGGCGCGCGCTCCCCGCAGACCCTCGCGGAAGGAGCAGGGGGCGGCGCGCGTGCGCGGGCCGGCAGGCGGCGCGCGAGGGGGCGGAGCGGGGAGGCGCGCGGCGACCCCGGCGGGCTACAGCCTGCGGCGCGCGCAGGGCGCTGGTGGGGCGCGCGGCGCGCGCGCGGGGCGGGGGCGCGCGGAGGGGGGGGGCTGCCCCGGGGCGGCCCCCCCAGGTCGGGGCGCGGCGGGCGGCGGCGGCGGGCGCGCGTCCCGTCCAGGTCCCGAGTAACCGCCGCCGCCGCCGCCAAAGCTCGCCAACATGGCGGACCTGGAGGCCGTGCTGGCCGATGTCAGTTACCTGATGGCCATGGAGAAGAGCAAGGCTACCCCGGCCGCCCGCGCAAGCAAGAGGATCGTCCTGCCGGAGCCCAGGTACCAGCTGCCCCGGCCGGCGCCGGCCCCAAGCCGCCGCCCCCTGCGGCCGCCAGCGACTCCCTGCTTCCTGGAGGGTCAGGCACTGAGCCTCCGCTGCCCCGGGGCGGGTGACACAGCGGAGCGGGCGATGCGGGGCCAGCCTCGTTGTTCCAGTCTCTGAAATGGGGCATCGGAGGGCTGGTGGGGGGCACTCCGGGAGAGAGCGCTCCGAAATGCCCGGCGCGGCGCCCTGCGCGCAGCGAGCGCCCCAGCGAGGGGCTGGTTATGACTTTGCTGGACTAGCTCCATCCCTCTCGCCCCCTCCCGCCCAGCCCTGTCCTGCCCTGTCCCATCCCCGTGGTTCTTCCTGTTGCATTGGTGTGGTCCCCCTTGGCTCCTTTCCTGTCACTCCTTTGCGCTCCATCCTGGTCGCTGCTTCTTCCCGGGCTCTGCGGTCCCCCTTTCCAACTTCATCTCTCAGCTCCCTCTGGGCTGCTTACCTGGGGACTGCAGGCTTGTTGCTTATGGTCCGAGGTAAACTGCTGTTTTCAGTGCTTGCTCTTCTTGTAGTCACTAAGTCTAGTCGCCTTCTTAGGCTTCTCTTCTATTTTGTGCCTAGGCAGGATTTTGACCCACTCAATATTCTTTTTGGTGCGAAGTGTGTCACCTGAGCTGCTTTCCTCAACTTGTAGATCTACTGGTGGCACTTCATTAAAAAATTGAAACGGGAGTCACTTAAAAAGACACTTGAACGGATGATTCCAGACAGGAATTTGTTGTTAAATTATCAAAGGAGGGCCCGATTGAATTGGCGAGGGGCTCGGTGAGGTCCATACCAAGTTGCAATTTTCTCTCAAATGATTTATTATTAAGGAACTAGTAAATTTTTTTGCTAGTTCGTATCATCAGCACTTCCCCAGAAAAACTAGTTCGTCAGGTTAATGGTGAGTTTTAAATAGTGTATCAAGGCTTCAGCGATGGATTTTTTTTTTCTCTAGCTCCTTTTTCCTAATTAACACCATCATGAGTTGTGCAGCTAATGCGGTTCCTTGATGCTAAATAGCTCTTGGAATTGATGCTCAAAAGAGGCATTTTCTTTATGGTGAATTTGAAACCATGCAATTCTGTAAAATATTGGAATCTACACCAAAGTTACTGTCCTTTTGAAATCATCAGTCCGTCAAGCGTTAGGCGCCCGAGATTGCTTAAATGTTACCTAATGCTAAGTGATCATCATATGATTTTTTTACAAGTCCATCTATGAGCCCTATGATACAGAGAATACCAGTCCGCTTGTTATTTGTTGTGAAAAGCTAAATTGTGCAAATGAAGACTTGCTTGCTGGATATTTTTGGCCTCTTTTTCCTCCTTAGCCCAGGCCTCTTGTTGGCTTTGCAGGGTGTGCTACTCTTTGATAGGCAATGCCAAGTAGTGAAAATCAGGGAAAAGTGCAAACCTGTCTGCGATGTCGTGAGTTTAACACCCCTATTCCAGAGTGTAGCAGATCTGAAGCTAATTGAAATAATCAGTGCTGCTTAAAATTTCCGGCAAGTGGGAAACTTACTTAGAGAACAAGAACTCCTATATCAAACCTAAATTTCACCGAAAAAATTGTCCATTTTTATAAATGTGGTAGAAAAAGGCTTAATTCCTTTTTCTCTTGCCTATCCTAGTGTCCCTCCACCACCCAAAGGCAGGGAGTCCTAAATATGTGGGGTTTCTATATATACAATTGATAAATCTCAACTCATGGGCAGTTATTTTTTTGGGGGGTAGAATATAATATTACTAAAGTTAGGAACTTCTGTTCAGTTTTCTTTTTTTCTTGGTATTTGGAACTTAATGTGACTTCTGCTTTTTTAGTGTCCCTCTTAAGAACTTACTTATGCGCTTAGGGTGTTCACTTCCTTGTATGAATGCCTTTGTTTTTCAGTGGTATTCTTTGGTAATGCTTTCTTTTAAGGCAGAGTGACAGCCAGCATATTTCTCATGACATTTTAAAATTGAGAAATACCAACCAGAGAGTAATTTTAGGAAACAGCCCTTCAGTAATTGTTATTCTGTTGCTCTTTTTAAAATAGACTCTCGAATTGGGCCATTGGAACCTCCCCCTGAGATTCTAATTTGTTTTCTACTTATCTTAGTGGCTTTGGCTTTAGTTTTGTAATGTAGCTATTTACATAGTAACAGTCACTCCTTGGGCTGTGTTAGGATTCTGTCACATTGAGATTATCAGGTACAACATCTTGCAAAATTCTGTCTACCACGGGATGGCAGTTAGTAGCCTACCTATTTGATTCGGAGGTTGGGGGTTGGGGAATTTCTAGATCCTGTAAGAAAGTTAACTGCGTGTTAAAATGCCCCAGCCTAATGACTTAAATGGCTGGTATGACTTCACACTTTTGTTGAAAGGGATACGGGTCAAATGTTTTCTGATAAGAGTTTCTATTTCAGCTTCATTATAGAGCAAGCCATGTGACCCCCAGTTTTTGGTATTCTTGAAAGAGATGTTCAGATTTGTATTTTTAGTATCTGAATGAGAAGCATACATTTTAATTTGCCTTTGGTCTATCACTAGTGATTTTTTTATTTCCAGCAAATTATTTGCAGTCACTATTCTTTGTGCTTCCTTATTTTAGTTACTTTGCCTTTTCCACAGTTTTAAACAGAAGAGCATCAGAACGAAATATCTAGCTAATTTAAATGAAACACTGGGTTTGCAGCTTCCTGCTATTACAGGAGAGTCTCAGAAAATGGAACATTCTGCCCAGGGGAGATTTTGCTTCTCTGAGATGGCAAGAGGCAAACATTTTGTTATGTTGACACATTATTCAATTAACCAATGAGTGCAAATCCTGGAAAAGCTGACTATTTGTCCAAATGGTATAGCTGCTTTAGTTTACCGAAATGTTGTTGGGCTAATGTAGCTGATAATGGGCCCTATTGGGAGTAGTAGACTGTGACCCACAGACTCCCTGTGCAGGCCCAGTTAAAACAGGAGCATTTAGATGTGCAGGCCAGTTGTTTTACGTCACGTTGGAAAAGAAATACTTTTACTTAAGTAAGGTCTAATTCATAAGCAAAGGCCCACGAAAAGTCAACATCTTAAACCCTGGAGTGATTCAGATGACTTTTACTGTAGGCTGTATTACTCTGTTACTCTTTTTTTAAAAACAGAACGAAATTCAGATGACTTGAAATCACACATAGTTGAAAGAGGTTGAGTAACGTGAACTTCATCTTTCCCCTGGAGTCTCATTTCTGTTTACTGGACATTGCGAATGTTGGATCACCTATTGCAAAGCTTGTCCTTTCAAAGTATTCATACAATATGATAGGAAGGGCTGAAATGACATTTTAAAGATTCTTTGTAATTTTCTAGGAGGACTGAGAGTCCTTAAAGGACATTTATGATACCGTTTATGACATTAATTCAGTACATAGTTGTAGAGCCATTTCTATGAGCCAGGCCCGGGATACTATGACAAACCCAGCCACAGCCCCTTCCTTCATGGAGCTTATAGACTAGTGTAAAATGCACAGAGTCGAGCCAAGAAGGATGTTTGCTTTAAAGTGTAATTGCTTGAAGATTTTATTTAAGCACAAACAAATAGCGTATAGATGACTTTTATTATTCTATATGCATGGAATATAGAATAATAAAAAAGAATGAATATAGAATATAGGATAATGCATAGAACACATGATGTTTGGTAAGTGTTTTACAATAATTTGTTAGTGATTACCTTTGAAGAACTAGCTAAACATAGTCTCCATAGTGATATGGTAGTTTGCATCTTTCTGTTTGTGCAGCTACTGCTAGTGGCCCAGTTTTCTTCTTTAGTGGACACGGAATTTATTCAGTAATTTTCTAACTCCAATCAGTAAGTGGTTGGTGGATAACTTGAAATATTCCTCTCTGTTTAGGCTGTAGAGTTTTCTGTGTCTTCATTCTCCGGTACTCATAGCCTAATTTTTAACTGAAAAGTCCATGTTCGAAGCACAAATAGCCTTTAGAAAGAAAGTATTTCTTATTATTGATAGGAGTAGTTCTCTGAGTAAGCAGTAGTGTTCTTGCTGCTTTTTCATTAAGGTACAAATTCAAAACATAATTGGTTCTGACCTTTCAGTTATTACTTCATTCTTGGTCCAAGTTAATTTGTGCCAGTGACTTGAAGATGCAAGAAGTGCGTGTAGTTGTCAATTCTTAGAAATGAATGTTCCGGCGAAATCTGTTTTGGACCTAGAATCTGCCAAAGCCGAGCATCGTGAAATGCTTCGAATGGAGAGCCTCATAGATCTCTCCGAGGTACAAGCAGTTCTAGCTTTTACACGCAATGTGTTCTTAGAGGCAGCCTCTTAAAGTGTTTCCCCAGTACACTGAGTTGGACTTTGCCAAACATCTGTTTGGGCAAGGATGGAAACTATCAGACGAAGGTGTCAAGGCTAGAGGAAGGGAAGCGCAGGTCTTTTTCAGTCAGTGGCTGGCCAGCAGAGTAGTGAAATGCAAAATAGTATTAAATAGCTAGCAGGACGCCTGGCCTCCCTAGGGTCCCTGGAGCCCTGGCAAGCGAAAGAGAAGTTTAACCTCCATGATGTCATAATGTATTAACTACCTTT